GTTTATTTGTCCCGCCCCTGTAAATAAAATAAAGCTACTTTGTCAATATGAACCCTCGAGAGAAAAATTGGCCTGCTTACCAGAAGCTCTGGGATTGGCACCTCAAAGACTGTCCAGTCTGGAATTCGCACTGGAATCCGCATTATAATGACTCGCCAGTTTCTGGTTCAGTGACAACGAGGAAGCGTTAAATTACCTGAGGTTAAGCAGACACTTTTACCGAATCATCTTAGTTATTGTAGTGGAATAACTAAAACGTTTGGTTTATGTATCTTGTTGTATCTTGTTGAGTAAAGCACCGGTTTGCTTGCTGTGAGATTAAGAATCGTAAGCTTCTCAATTGTTGTATCTCTTTGTGACGAGGATGATGATCATATTATATGTATGGACGGTTGAGATTCGGAGCTGGATGTTGTGGCGAAAAACAAAAAAGAACAGAGTTGAAGACGCTTTAATTTAATGGTACAAATGTAAAAAGTAAGTTCGACACAGATTTCAGATTCTAATCATAGAGTCATAATACTAATAAACAAATCATAACTTATAGAAACAGTAAATAAACAACATCACCAAGGGACATAGAGTAATATCTTAACAGAAGGTAAACAGCCACACCAGCAAGCATAGATTATAGAGCTAAGATAGAAACCAGAGGAAGGCAAACTCAATCTCTCGTGTTTTTTGTGAACCTTCAAGCTGGTCTTCAAAATGACAGATGTATATATTTCTGGCACGAGCTAGCCAGCCTCAAGGCAGAAAAGGTCACTCCCTGAAATGAAGATGCACACATCTCCATTCTCCTCTGTGTAAAATGTATCTTCCTTCTGTCGTCTCTATCTCTCTAAACACCATGAATAAACGGCTCTCTCTTTAGAAATGGAGAGACCTATGAGTAGCATTTGACTAAGAAACTTTTGCCTGAGGGTGACTCCACCCATTCTGCCCTGGAACATAAATCCAACAGCTCGTACTGTGATAACTTGGGACGGTTGCAATACATATAAAGTAATGGAACTTAGGATTATTGTCGTCTTTCTTCAAGTGGAGATCCCATGAGCACAAGTGGTTGCTCTTGGGGGAAGTGTTTTGTCAGGGACAGTGAGTAAGTCTTTCTTGACCGCATCGAACAAGAACTCCAATGCTGTGGCCATCCTTAACCGTACGAGCATTAGATATTTCATGGATGATGCTGCTCCAAAAACTTGGAATGCATGTGGTTCTGGTGAGCTATTGGTTAATAAAGTGGATGGGAGCGAAAACTAACTGAATTGGTTTGCTTATATTGGTGAATCATTTCGGTTAAATCTTGGTTTTGATTGTTACCATACTGAAATGAAAGTCCAATGCAGGAAAATTGTTGGGAAGTGTTCTGGAAGCATAAGATATATGGTTTGACATCCACAGCATCAAGTGATAGCTTCTTGCGGTAAGGTTCATTGTCATAACTTGAATCTCCATATATGCATTTCAACAGTCTCATGATTGTGTCTTGTTTTATTCTACTGTTCATGATAAAACTTTTGAGTGCATTGTTGTTAACAGTTTTGAACAAACACGCACCAAAAAGGGAAACAAGAGTTTCTGTGTTTTCTATAGACTAGTTTTCGATAAAACGCACCCGCAAAAGGCTAGATTTCGATATAAAATCCTCGGGAAAGTTACAATGTGCAATAAAAAGGCTAAATAACGTTCCAGGCAAACAATCAACTCGTCGTTAGATTGTAACAAGACGGAGAAACCAAATATTAACCAAGTTTTCTTTTCTCTTCTCTAATGTTGCCATCGTTGTGGATTCGGACAAGCGTAACCTCCTGGTTTTTGACACTGTTGCAAAATTTGTCGGTCTCTGCTCAAGCCGGAAGCTTAAGTTTTGTGTTGGTTTTCCAGCTAAGACGAAGTTGAAAAGTATCAAAAGTCATTAAGCTGATAAGTGGCTATAAAAGGTTAAGAGAATATTCAGAGTGGTGAGGTTTCTTTACCTCAAGTAGTAGTAGTAGAAGAAATCTGCGTACAGAGCTGTTTGGATAAGACCGGAGACGCAAGCTGGAAAAACAAATGTGGGTATGTAAAACATTAGCAATGAGAAGAAGAAAGAAATCGGTGAATGTAATTAGTGTTTCTTTGTTGAAGCATGCATTACCAATCCATCGAGCGAAATGATCTTCTGTAAAATAGCGATAGATCCAGTTGATAATATACAATCCACGATACGCCCTGCAAGTTAATCATTGCCCATGTCAGTGCATACTGAAAACTTTCTCAAGTTTGCGGACGATACACAAAGGAATGCATCAGAACCAAATGCATAACAAGCGTAAACCAGACTAATCTCCTTTATATAAAAGAAGAACTAATTCAGCTCAACCTTCAGGTTGATAAAGATCAGAAGGAAAAACAATCATATAGACTTTTGAGATGTGTATGGATTTTAAACATCGCACTGGAGAGCATTTCTGATTGATCAGAGTAACAACAAGCACATGAACTGTGAAAAGCACAGTGTCAATAAGAGAAAACAATTCTAAACAAACCCAACAGAGCGAAGAGATTACAATAAACCTTAGCATGGGTACTACTCATGCTAATATCAACATCGAGTTCCAAAACGAGACCCATTAAAGCCACAGCACCAAGTAAGTAAACACATGTCTGGAAAGAATCACGTACCCGAGAAAGAGAACATATTGCCCTGTCAAATTGTCCACATTCCCACTTCTCTGTAGCAGAACCAACTGGGGAAGGATAGCAACTGCCTCCAAGTAAATGGAAAAAGCCCAGAACACCTGCAATAGTATCATATTAACAGAATTAGCATCTCGTACTGCTTGCAACACCCATAAACCACACTGCTGCAAACTACTTAAGAATGCAACTCAGAGTGAAGGCAGTTGCAAAGATGAAAGTTTTACTAGGAACGTATATTGACAAATACACATGAAGGTAAAAGATTTTGGCGAAGTGCACAACAAAAGTTGCTTCTGAAAATATAATCAAAGAACACTTTATGGAACATAGGTAATGAGGACACACCAGATTCCGTTGATAAAAGCACACAGACCTCAAACAGTGAAACAGTCTGACATTCAAAGAATTTCTCAAAACAAAATAAACGGCGAGATACTGAGATGTATGCACCGGTAGTACACAGTTTTAAACAAGCTTTAGCACCTACGAAAACATAGTTCCACATAAAACTATAAAAGCCGGGTCCAAAGCGGTTCTGAAAAGAGTAATGATTACTTCATTTACATGGATGATACTATATTCTACCAACACAGCCAAGATAATCACATAATCCAACTGACATAAGAAGCAGAAACTGATATGATTCATCGTAACTACCAAGCGCACATGATGTTTAAGAAAATGGTTTAGCAGTATGAAAATCAGCCATACCTAAGTGTGCTATATGAATGAACAATATAGAAGATTACATACTGAATATAGGAGTAAGCTACACTATCCTCTGTATTCTCTACAACCTACAACCTAAAAGCACAAAAGCATGTGAAATTTGATTACCTCTTGAAATGTGAATCTTTCATGCAGGACGAGTGCCAAAACAAAACATGCTAACACAACATATTGATGGCGAAATGTGTCCAGGTCCTTATCGTATGACCTACGCACAAGCGGATGCCTACGCATACACCAAACGATTGCCAAAGAGCTAGCAATGAAGACAATCTTCATCACGCTGTTGTACAGAGACACATAATCCGTGAACAGATCCAAGTACCGAGTCAAGAACACAAGCGCATACAGCTCTTGAGTCTTGAGAGAGATTCCTAGCCAACAAATGCAAGATCAACAGAAACAATGTCAGAAACTACAGCTTGAAATGTGACAAAAATCATGAACAACTACGAGCATACTATATCTTCCGCAATTTTTCAATCAAACCGAATCTAAACTCCGTTCTAGTTTCAGTTTCTTAGATTGAGATTTTCACCACTATTTTGACTTGAAATTGCAAATTACGAACTCGGATTCGTATTGAAACCGATCACAAAGGCTCTATAGGATCTCGAATTAGATTGCGAAAACGAAAACAAACGGTCAAAGCAAATGCGATTGTTTCCGAGAGAGCTCTTCGTCTTCAAGTTACAGAACGAACACACATTCAAGGAAAAGAGTGGAGAACTCACCCGCGCAAGATTTCGTCGCGTAGATTTTGAGAAGAAGGATTAAAATACTGATCAAGTGAGTCATATCACCAGCAAATCTAAAGATATTCATGGTTGACCAGAAATCGAGAGCTACTCAACGATGCCAACAAATTTCCCGAGAATCTAGAGAAAGAGAGAGAAAAAATCAACCGATTTTCTCTCTTCGAATCGAGAGAGAAACGGAAAGAGAAAGAGAGGAGCGAGAAAGCGACGGTGCACGTTTCAGGTTTTACCAAGAACAGCAAAATCTCGTTCAGAGAAGAAGACGATGACGTGGCAATCTGGAACGGTCTTCGGTGTCCAACTTCTCTAAACGTGTGAGCTCACTTATTTTTTTTCTTAACCAC